GTTAATCTTCTCATCACTCCTTATCGCCCATCCCCTCCCACTTGGGACTGTATGACTGTAATTTTGTCGCTTGTATCCTTACGATTTATATTGACTGTTTCCTAGTATGATTTGATTGTTTATTGTACCCTATGATTATTATTAAGGATTGTACCTTACGATTCTTGACTCTTGACGAATGTACCTTTTCTTTTATTGTATACTGAGAGTATTTGCACCAAGACAAATTCCTTGTGTGTCCAATCATACTTGGCCAATAAAGAATTCTATTCCTATTCCTATTCCATTCTATTCTATTCTAATTCTATTCTAAATTTCTACTCTACCCTACTCTACTCTACCCTACCCTACCCTACCCTACCCTATCATAAAAGAATGCAAATGACCAGCTATCTACAAGGAGTAGAAATCCTTCCATTCCCCACCATCCACCAGTATGAGCTGAAGAAGCTTCTTAGATGAGAAGCGTAATGTCTTCAAAGAAAAAACTAGAAAGTCCGGTTGCCTCTGGAAAAAAGCACCTCCGGGAACAACCGTCACCTGGATGATTGAGAATCTCCACGGACTTTATACAGGTTGTCTCAAGTTGCCACTGTCAAATGAGGAGAACCAGAGGGCAGGATATATCAGTTCAGTTCTACACTTGATTGCTGAGAAGTAAGATCAGTGGTGGGATTCAACCGGTTGTTGACTTTCTGAGCAGTTTGGTGAAGTGGTTGGTGGAAGAAATCATTAGGGCAGAGAACCAGTCGTCAAATCCCTTGAACGCCACCGCTGAGTAAGATCCATACTCAGTGTGGTTTATCCACCAGAAAATGTGGTCTGCTTTTACACTAGATAAGTCAAGTAAAAACCCTGGGGGAGTAGGATTTTGGAGTAGAAGACCTCCAGCCTATGTTGTGTGTTGCCTATCTTGCAGTCCAGCTTCCGAGTGGTGAATTAAAAAGCCACAAAGCAACAACAACAGCAACCTAGGGCAGCGTTCATGGTAGCTAAGCACAGCCACTCTTAACACAATCCATGCGATTACAGTCATGTTTAGAAGGAAACTTTGCGGGGCTCACCTAAGTTCTCCTGCCTTGAGCAAGGGGGCTGGATTATTAGACCTTTAAGGTCCCTTCTAACCCTGATTCTATATTGGGAGTTTGGTGACTTACTTCTAGCCCCTCCGTGACGGGGTAGGGCGTTCCTATTTGACTTTGTTTAACAGTCTGGTTTTATTTTTATGGTTTTATGATGTTACGGGTTTACTTTGGATTTTTTATGGCCATCAAGAGTCATTGTTGAAGTTGGCAAGCGTACAAACGTACTAAATAAAACCAGGCAGCCAGGGGTGAGAAGGACCCTTGGGATGTGTGCACAATTAATGACGGTCCTGAGCCACCCCAACAGAAGCTCAGATCAACTGTGGAATCTCCTGAGGGTTGCTAGAGGATTCCTTTGTGTAAGTCGCCCCAAATGAAGCTTTTCCTTTAATTGAAAAATGAAGTTCACATACCCAAAGCCCACGCCACCCCCACCCCCCCAAATGTCTTACTATAAGCAATAAAGAAATGCCAGGAGAATTAGATGCACCTTTACTGGTTTCTCTAAACATCACAAGCCTTGAGTGATGAAGAATGAGGTTCTCTCACGTGAAGTAGATCTTAAACCAGGGGTCTTCAAACTTGACAGCTTTAAGACTTGTGGACTTCCGGCATTCTTCCTCCAGTCATGTTAGTTCAGGAATTCTGGGAGTTGAAGTCCACAAGTCTTAAACTTGTCAAGTTTGAAGGCCCTTGTCGTAAGACAGCAAAGTTGGCCTTCCAAAGATCTGGACGCTAAAACGTATGAGGAACAGTTGCAGGGATTGGGTATGTTCAGTTGAACGAAAAGAAGGATCAGGAGTGACGTGATAACAGTCTTCCAATATTTGAGGGGCTGCCCCAAAGAAGAGGGGGTCAAACTATTCTCCAAAGCACCTGAGGGAAGCTAATCAAAGAGAACAGCAACCTGGAACTAAGGAGAAACGCTCCTAATGGTGAGGATTATTAACCAGTGGAACAGCTTGAATCCAGAAATCATGGGCGCTTCATCGCCGGAGGTTTTCAAGAAGAGACTGGACAGACACTTGTCTGAAATGGTGTAGGTTCTCCTGCTTGAGCAGAGGGCTGGACTAGAAGACCTCCAAGGGCCCTTCTGTATTATTTTCTTACACTCTTCTGAGGATCTTAATTATCTCAACAAGCTTGTAAGAGATGAAGGAGTTCTTTGTCCGGACAAGCCCAAAGCCTCAACACCTCTCAACTGTAAAACTGAACAACGGACAACTCCAATGGGCTGCTGTTGTTTTTGGTGCAGGCTGGGTTTGCAACATCTGGAGGTCCATCTGTCTGGGATGTTGTTCGATGTGGATAGCTGCATCGGCAAGGGCTGGACTAGATGTTCTCCGAGGAACCTTCCCACCCTTTATCCTTCTCCAATTCCATCTTTTTGGAGCGAACCTCTTAAAACAGGGTCCCCTTAGAAGATGCTAAGTCTCAAGCAAGATTCACTCAGGTGATGTTCCAGGGTGAGAACAGCAGGGAAACTAGAAACAGCCAAATACAAGGTGAATCCCGCACTGCTCACACTTAATTTTGAATTTTTACCTTCAATTTGTTGCACACTGTCCTCTGGTGGCTACTCTGAGTCACAGCTACTTTGGACCTTGTTAAGGACATTTTGTTGATGGCAATTAAGCCCCCACCCCCCCTTATTGATAGGTTTTCTTCTTCTTTTCCATCATAAAGAAACTGCCCTTTTTTTTGGTTGCAGAACTTAATGGGAATTGACTGAAATGGCAAAACTGATTAAAGAAAAGAACACAAGTACGTTTGTTTCCAATGGAAACCCCTTCTGAACTTCCATGCTTGATGTGGAAAAGAACAAAACTTTGATTTGGGGATTTACTGATTAGGCTGATAGATCTTTATAGAAATGGCTTGTTTACACTATTAGGAAGAGCAAAAAAAGTTGCGATTTGATGTGAATGTCTTATTTTACTGTATTGAGAGTCGGAAGTTTCCTTTCTTTTTTCTTATCTTTCCTCACTTTTCCTTCCCCACTGCTTTCCTATTTACTTTTGTGTTTTGCATCCACTAATTTGACACAACTTGTTTTGCACACCTCACAGGCTTCGTTTGAGCCGGCCGTGTGCAGCAGCTGCCAAAAAAGCCAACACGGTTCTAGGCTGCATCAACGGAAGGATAAAATCAAGATCACGTGAAATGTTAATACCATTTTGTAATGCCTTGATAAGGCCACCCTTGGAAATACTGCATCCAGTTTTGGTCGCCATGATGTAAAAAGATGTTGAGACTCTCTAGAAAGAGTGCAGAGAAGAGCAACAAAGATGATTAGGGGACTGGAGGTTAAAACATACAAATGAACGGTTGCAGGAACTGGGTATGAAAAGAAATGAAAAGAAGGACTAGGGGTGAGAAGATAGTAGTCTTCCAATATTTGAGGGGCTGCCACAAAGAAGAGGGAGTCAAGCTATTCCCCAAAGCACCTGAAGGCAGGACAAGAAGCAACGGGTGGAAACTAGTCAAGAAGAGAAGCAACTTAGAACTAAGGAGAAATTTCCTGTCAGAACAATTAATCAGTGGAACAACTTGCCTCTAGAAGTTGTGGATGCTCCAACACTGGAGGTATTTAAGAAGAGACTGGATAACCATTCATTTGAAATGGTATAGGGATTCCTGCCTAAGCAGGGGGTTGGACTAGAAGACCTCCAAGGTCCCTTCCAACTCTGCTATTCTATTCTACTTCCACACGGAACTGGAAAAAAAAATCCAAAATAAAAATGCCTTCTTACTTCAGTCTTCTTTGTGTCTTTTCTGAAACAACCACCAGTAGGAAACAACAGAACAAAAGAACACAACTTCTGATCCTTCACAACTTCTGATCCTTCACAAGAATCAACAGCAAACTCAACTTTCCCCCATATTTTTGTTGCTGGAAGAAAGGACTGGGATGAACTGAATGTCTCTCGCTATTATCTTATCTTAAAAACCCCTTTGCCCTTTGAGCTGCGTATCCAGAGTACGATCAGCACTGACTGGGACATAGAAAATGCAAGAAATCTTTCTTGTTTGTTTCTCTGCCGATTTCTCAGAGCTCATAGGGGGTTTTTGTGTGAATAACAGCCACGTTAAGGCTGTGCATTTCTTTGGACCGGATTGCTGCCGGTTGCTTTGCTGGGAAGGCGAGTGCAAATTGTAGCACTGGCCTGTTATTCTTGAAAGCAACCGTGTCTTCTTTCAGGACCCCAGGAGAGCGGCAGAGGGTTTCGAGAGAAAAGAGGTGGTTGTTTTTAAAAGTGTTGTGTGGAATGCACCTTCTACCTGAAGTGCCTTTCTGGAATTAAAAAAACAACAACAATTGCTACCAACCTGCCTTACATTGAGGACCCGAATCCAATTTAAACTATATCACGATCTGAGTATTTTAAATTCCACCAATTGTACTGTAATTTTGTTAAGGCCATCATACTTTTCTCCAGACCAAAACTGGGTGATAAATCTAATGGGAAAAATTCCCCATCGTTTATTGCCTTTTTTTTTCAGCCATTCAATGAAGATTTGCATTTCTCTTTCTGGGAAAGTTTTGTAAAATGCCATGGGTTATTGGCTCTGCCCGCAACCTGCCATTTTGCACCTAGCTCCTCCCATATGCCGTTATTTTACACAAATTTCTATTTAATAAGAGAGCATCCAGGTTTAGGGGTGAGGAAAAAAAAGCACCCTTCCATTTGCCCACTTCTGGAAATAACCAGAATAAAATCGAATGTCTGATTAAAACTATATTATCTCCTTTACGGAATTTATTGGTGAAAATTAGGACGTCCATAATCCTTTCCACCACGTTTGGCAGCATCTTTGAGCACTGACCAGAGTTTTCCTAGAGGTGAGTAGGGATGATTGGTTTCAGAGTTTAAAAAAAAAAAAAATCTGGTGCGGAAAATATCCCAAGACTTTTTCTGTTTTTTTTTTTTTTTTATGTAAGATTAAATATAACCTCTCTTCAGTAGAGCATCTCTCTTTAAAACCACACAAAAAGGGGTAGGTGGGTGGGAGGGTTGTGATACATTCTTCCTGAAAAATAAGAAATACTGACCACGGAGCAAGGAGATTTACAGTGCAAAAAATACAAGCGATTTACACCGACAAGTGCAAAATGATTATCCTTACAATTTTTACAGCATTGCGCCAGAGCAATCGTTCTTCCGTCGCTCTGCACTATCATTCTACAGCACCTGGTTTGCATCCGATGCTCTAGATCAGGGGGTCTTCAAACTTGACGGCTTTAAGACTTGTGGACTTCAACTCCCAGAATTCCTCCTCCAGTCCTGTTAGCTCAGGGATTCTGGGAGTTGAAGTCCACAAGTCTTAAACTTGCCAAGGTTGAAGACCCTTGCTCTCCAACAACCACGTCAAAAGATTCTGGTTTTGAGACAAACCAAGAAGTGGGGGCCCTGACTTCGCCTGGCATCCGCCGAAGGTTTCAAATTTGCCCGTCTTGAGAAATGCAACACAATTTTTTTTAAAGAGTCTATGACTGCGGCTAATTTCTAGATCACGGATACGCCACGTGAGGAGGATTCCAGCAAAGATGAAAGGCGCGAGCTAAGATGTTGGTTGATTGTTGCGGTATCCGCTACCACGGGGGACACCCAGGTTGGCATGCAAACACACACACGTGCGCGAGCACACAGAGCTTGCTTCGAAGGGCAGGAGACAACGATCTCAGAACTTCACATTTCGAGCCTGGGAGGAAAGGGAAGCTATCATGGTGTCCCTCTCCCCGCTCCCCGTTTTAGTAAGGAATATCGTTTTGGTAGTACTGGATCATATCATACGTCTTGCTCCTAAAAAGAAAGAGGGGAAGAGGAAGGAAAAAAAAATTAGGCTTTTTTCAGAAATGTTCCTCTTGGGATTGGATCTGGTTTCTACGGGGGCTCGAGAAACAGACAAAATTTGTGATGAAGAGGCTACTCTGGATGAGAGTTTGCTGCAACAATGAGTCGTGGATTGATTAGAAATATACTGTAGGCGATGACTAAGGGAAGGAAGAGTCAAACATGTCATTAGTGTTCTGACCCAGCTCGACAAGCCCTCTGTAGTTAAATCAATAATTCCCTTATTAGGAGCTCCAGCAGCCCCGCAAAAAGTCTCTCTCTCTCTCACACCGCAGGCTAACTAGTCCGTCTGTCTGGAAGATGAATAGTTATCTGTCACATCTATTCATCTCTGTCCCCTGCCTTTTATCCCCAGAGCTGGGGTGGGGTTTTGCAAGCAATAGTGGCTCTTCCATCCCAAGGACCGGCTCATAGATTTCCACTGCTCTCCTCTCCTCCGCCTTCTGTGCATCCGCGCATCAGGCACTGGACCCAGCTGTTCCTCCTCTTCCTCATCAGCCACCTCCAGACCTGGGAGCTGTTGACTCTCCATCTGAGGGCTGACGGGCGGCGCAGGCTTTTGGGCTTCATTGTGGTCATAAGGGGAGGACGACCTCTATTTGGCGTCACACCCGGATGATCTAAATCTACTTATTGCAAAGCTACCTTTGACAGAATCTTGTTAAGTCTAAAAGATACAATTTCCCTGCCTCTTTTCATTGCTGGGCCACAAATGGAGACAGCAGAGAAGAAGTACCTGTTGCTGAGGAAGCAATTCTGAATGATCTTCATGATGAAGTTGGCAGCTTCCCGCTCCGTCATGTTGGGGCTGAACCTGTTCCTGTTTGAGATAGCAGGAGAAGTGAAGGACATCAAAAGACTGTTCTGCAGAGAAGTCTTGACTTTGGCACATCTCCTCACAAGCACGCGGACAACAGTGGTTGCTGATATTTTTTGCAAAGACTCTTAAGTTGGCGGGATATCATAAGGGAATCTAGGGCTGTGAAGCCTGTTCTCACCGTGCTGTAATTCTTAATACAATTATATGAGTGTTTTTCTCAACCGTACAAACTTCTAAGATATCTGGACTTTAACTCCCAGAATTCCCTAAGCTGGTATGGCACCAGGCTAGAAAATGGGAGGCTGTGAATTCTAGTCCTGCCTTAGGCATGAAAACTCGTTGGGTGACTTTGGGCCAATCGCCAGGAGACTGGGAGTTCTAGTCCTGCCTTAGGCATGAAAGCAGGTTAGGTGACTTTGGGCCAATCATCAAGAGATGGTGAGTTCTAGTCCTGCCTTAGGCATGAAAGCAGGTTGGGTGACTTTGGACCAATCGCCAGGAGACTGGGAGTTCTAGTCCTGCCTTAGGCATGAAAGCTACCTGGTAACTTGCGGCCAAGTCCCTTTCTCCTTCTCTAGAAAGGCGGCCTGGAAAGCCACTTCTGAAAATTGCCAAGAGAACTTCTCCAGGTAGTTCCCAGGAGTCAAGACTGATTCACAGGTACCATAAAGAAATAAAAACTGGACCACACCTTCCAGGAGGCCATCAGGGATGAATGTTCCCTGCTCTACAGGGTCTCATTTTTTTTCTTCCAAAGCTTCAGGCTGAGCCCCGTCCACCCCACCAGGCCATGGGACTCTAGCCAAGCAGCCTCCCGCCCGCCTCTTTAAGCCAATCAAACCCTTGCTTAGCTTAAACGAGACCCGCCCATCGTTTCTGCTCTCAGCCAATCGGTGCAGCCCACTTACTTCAAGAGTTTGATGGTCTGTCCCCGAAAACACGGCAATCCTGTGTCCAACATCAAAGTCACCAAAGAAACAACGGCATCCATATAAGGTCTGCGAGGAGAGAACGAGAAGGGTAAGCACAGTTGGTCCCATCCACCAGCAGGAAGAAGTTTATTTATTTAGGATAGGATCAGACCAGGGCAGAAGAGAAGTAAAAGTACACACACACAGACACAACCCGCATATTTTTATACAAGACTTCTATGGGGCTACAGCAGGGACCTCATAACTGGATGTCCAATTCAGCTATCCAGGCGATCGCCTCTGGGGTCGCTTCAGGCCGATCTTCTAAGGAACCGGAAGAAGGTACGTCGTGGGCAATCTCACACAGACCCCTCACGTCCTGGACAAAAACTGTTTCAACTTCTCTCCTCAGAACGTTGCTATAGGGCAGGGGTCTTCCAACTTGACAGCTTTAGGACTTGTGGACTTCAACTCCCAGAATTCCTGAGCTAACAGGACTGGAGGAGGAATTCTGGGAGTTGAAGTCCACAAGTCCTAAAGCTGTCAAGTTTGAAGACCCTTGGTATAGGGCATTGCATGCACGCCCAAACAACAAGACACAAAGATAACACACACACCGCTGGCCATCACTCTGCTGAACACCTAATTCCCACAGTACTGTCTTATGTCTATGGATATTTACTCATGGAGTAGAGCTCTTTTGCTATTATCCTTCTCTTCTTCTCTTTTTTTCATCTTTCTGTATCTTATGATTGATCACTTGTTTGTATCTTAAAGACTATTGGTTGTAGCCATGATTAATATCTATGACCTATCACTTTGTTCTTTGTATGTACCCTGAGAGCTTATGCCCCAGAGACAAATTCCTTGTGTGTCCAATCACATTTGGCCAATAAAGAATTTCTATTCTATTCTATTCTATTCTATTCTATTCTATTCTATTCTATTCTATTCTATTCTATTCTATTCTATTCTTACTCTACTCTACTCTAATTCTATTCTATTCTATTCTATTCTAATTCTACTCTACTCTAATTCTATTCTAATTCTAATTCTACTCTACTCTACTCTACTCTACTCTACTCTACTCTACTCTAATTCTATTCTATTCTATTCTATTCTATTCTATTCTATTCTATTCTATTCTTACTCTACTCTACTCTACTCTACTCTAATTCTATTCTATTCTATTCTATTCTAATTCTACTCTACTCTAATTCAATTCTAATTCTAATTCTAATTCTAATTCTAATTCTACTCTACTCTACTCTACTCTATTCTAATTCTATTCTATTCTATTCTATTCTATTCTACCCTATTCTATTCTACTCATACTTTGCATCTCAGCACCACAATCGCAACGAGGGGAATCTTTCCACCCCCCACCGATAACAGGGTTAAAGTACTTCTTCCAGGATCACACCGAATTCTGTTCAATTTCGACCGGAAGAAAATGAACAGCAGGAAGAAGTGGGGTGAGGGAAGAAAGGCAACAGATGCTGAGATCCCATCTCACCCCGTTATGATAATTAAAATCTAGGCAGGCGAAACGTCTGCCTGCCTGCCTGCCTGCCTGCCTGCTGATGAAGCAGCCCGAGTGCCAACCCATCTAATCAACCTAACAAAATTACTGCGGCAAAGGGGGGGGGCTGAGCTCCCCGGAGTTTTACGGTGGCTGTAACATCCTCCTCCGTGAGCAGAGCAATGGAAGGATGATTCAGAATCGTTTCTCAGAGGTAGGACCGCTGCTCGGACATGCCTGGGCTCCCTTCCTGCTTCCTCCTCCTCTTGAACCTCGGCTGTCTTTTGGTTACGGCCTCGGGCCAGCAGAACCGAATCGGTGCAGGTGGCCCTCCACTTGCAACCATTCCTTCGGTGGCCGTTCCAAATGACTCACGCGTTAAGACAGCTGAAGCATCCTTGCGACCGATGTCATCATCTGTTTAACGGCCCCGTAATCCCTTGTGGGGTGGACTCTGAATGGAGCTGAGTGTTTTTTACTGGCCGGATGCCTTTCTTGTTGCCAGCGCGGAGGTTTTTTTCCCCCCAGCGGAGATATTCCCAGTGTAGCCAGAGAGAGAAATATCTGCCTCTACCTAGGATCGAAGTCACAGCCTCCTGATTGGGAGATGAGAGCCCCACCTCTAGGCCACCCTACCACTCAAGCATCCTCGTGATCATGTGATCAAAACTTGGAAGCTGGCATATATTTGTGACATTTGACGTGTCCTGGGGTCTTGTGATCCTCTTTTGCGGCCTTCTGAGGAGAAGAGGAGGCCATTTTCACTTAACAACCGCATTGCTAACATAACAGCTACAGGGATTCACTTAACAACGATGGCATACTACTGGAAAAACCCCAATGTACCATCTCTATATTTTGTCATTCAGAAAATATACCAATGTGCGGAAATGGAAAGGTGTTACATTGAAATTAAAGGAGAAAGATGATATGGAATATTATCGGATCTGGGACAAATGGTACGAACGGATAGATCGTAAAGAAAAACAATGTATAAAATAAAAAGAAATAAGGATTTCAAGAAATATATTATTATATATAGCTTGAACGACAGACAATAATTGGGCAGGAGTTTTTACCTCTCCTTTGTTTTGATTAAGCCAAAGAAAAGATTTATTCATAAAAGTATATAGTCGTAATTGAGAAGTAAGAAATGATTAATAGATAATATACATTAATGTAGATATTTCGCAATGGGTAGAAAGTAACCGCCACTTAATAATCTAGATGGAATAATTAAATTACTATCAAACTGTACTTGAGGAAAATAAGACTGGCTGTACTATGTGGTACGATGTTTTCATTGTATCATTTCCCGCTTGGGCGGGAACCCAAGCAGAAGCCTCCTCACCTGACCGCCAGGTAGCCCCTGACGCACATCTCCATGAACCACCTGAAAGGTGTGGCTTCCATCTTGCCACCCATGATCATGACCATCTCATCCGTCAGCTTGATGTCGGGCTCCCAACCCAGGTTTCCACCGGGAGAACTTTCAAACATGAATCCAAAATCTGCCAAGAAGGAGGAAGGCATTGACCTGGGCACTCTTTTCGTCGTCGCGTGCCCAGGGGGCGGGATTCAAAAATTTTAACAACCGGTTCTGTGGGCGTGGCTTAGGGGGTAGGCGTGGCTTGGTGGTCAAGTGACTGGGTGGAGATGGCTAAAAGTATTTCTTCTCTCCCTTGGCTTTTCCTTTCCAGAAAACCCAGGGAGGGAGGTCCCACATTCCCTTGGTTTCTGTGGGTTGAGTTCCCTTGTGCCCCATGGTCAGAGGTGGGTATTCAGCTGGTTCTGACCGGTTCTGCAGAACCGGTAGCGGAAATTTTGAGTAGTTCGGAGAACTGGCCAATACGGCCTCTGACTGGCCCCGCTAACCCCATCTATGCTCCGCCTCCCATTGAGTCCCAGCTGATCGGCTGGGTTCTTCTTTGGTTGTCCTGCACAGGAGAACAGAGCTGGAAAGTAGGTTAGTGGGGGTGGGGAGGGAATGGAGATTTTATAGTACCCTTCCCCTGCCACACCCACCAAGCCACGCCCACAGAACCGATGGTAAAAAAAAATTTGAATCCCACCACTGTAAAGAAGAAAGGAACGAAATGGGAAGGAGGAGAGGAACAAAGGGAAGGAACCAGAGATGGTATCCAGCTGGTTCTGATCGGTTCTGGAAAACCGGTCGCAGAAATAGTGATTAGTTCGGAGAACTGGCCAATACCGCCTCTGACTAGCCCCGCCCCGAGCCCGACGCCTGCTCCAGTTAAAAGGGTGAACCCACAACAAAAAAAAGAGAAAGAAAAGAAAAGAAAAGAAGAAAGGAAGAAGTCCCAAGGGGTCAACTAACCAATGTGAATGAGGTGTCCATGTTTGTCCAGCATGATGTTGCCATTATGCCTGTCTTTAATTTGCAAGAGGAACAGCAGAAGACTGTACGCAGCCATGCTGCGGATGAAGTTGTATCGAGCCTGCAAGGGTGTGACAACGGCGGCCATATTGAGAAAGGAGGAAGAGTTTGTATCTCGGGCATTCAGTTGGCCAAAGCTGAACATCCTAAAACAGGAGCATTTTCCTAGGGGAGGACGGGGAGGACTGAAGACAAACGATTTAATTCTCAGGAGAGGAAGAGAGGAATCTAATGGGGTCACTTGGTTGGCTTTATTCCTAACAGTACGGAATTTTTGCGCTTGGCATCACTGGACTATTTACTGTCCAGGAAATGCTCAACCTGCCAATTACTGTCCAGCCAATGAAGAAGAGGATGGCATTTCCTCCCCCCTAGTTCTTCGTTAGGGTCTCATCAATAAAAGCCATCCTCCAAAACTCTCCAGAGTCAACTCAAGGGGCCATTAGGGAGAGTTCAGAAAGAGAGAGAATTCCCCCACTCCCTTCTAGCACTGATGATGTTGCTTAGTTGGGTTATGAAATGTCTGCAAGAAAACAACCAAGCTCAGAGAGCACCCAAGGACATCACAGTTCTCCTTCCCCCTTTTCCTTCTTTCCCCCTTCTCCTCCACCCCTCCTCCTCTCCAAATTCTCCTCTCCTCCCCTTCTCCACGATCCCAACTCCCTTGTAGCACAGATGATGTTACCTAGTAGGGTCATGAAATGCCTGCAAGTCAAACTCAGAGAGCACCAAAACCCACACAGTCCTCCTTCTCCCTTTCTCCTCTCCCCTCCTTCTCCTCCTCCCCCCTTCTTTTCTAACACTGATGAAGTTGCCCAGTAGGGTCATGAAACGTCTGCAGGAAAACAGCCAAGCTCAGAGACCACCAAGAACCCCACAGTTGTCCTTCTCTCCTCCCCTTCTCTGCAAACCTCTCTCCCTTCTAGCACTGATGAAGTTACCTAGTGGGGTCATGAAATGTTTACAAGAAAACCACCAAGCTCAGAGAGCATCGCCTTGCAGTTCAACCCCGAGCTTACAAATATTCCCTTCTATAGCTAAGAGTCACCCAAAATACCTTCTGGAAGGCCAGGGTTGATTCATCACCGTACTGCCTAGTAAAGTAATCGTACATCCCAAAGTCGGTCTGCCTGCCCAGCTGATCTCGGGAAGTACAATCTGGGATGCATTCGATGACACCACACTGAGAGAAAGAAGAGAAATGAACGAATGGGAGGAGCTCCCAAGAGCAAATTCCGCCAAACGTATAACAGATCACTGTGATGACCCAGAGTGTAACACAAACGTAACAAGATCCAAAATGTACATAAATGTCCCTTTAAATGCCTCCAACTTGGCCCCACTGTTTAATAATTCTCAGTTGGAGAAAAAAACGTACTCAGAAATAGTCGTCAAAAGAAAGCAGTACAGTCCGAACTCAATGAGCAGATAGAGGTGAAATGAAAAACCAAACAACTACAATGGTGAAATTTCCACAAAGGAACAGGAGAAGTATTTGCCAAATTCAAGGAGATAACAAGGCAGAGTCTGTTGGAAGGACGCCAACCAAGATAACTTCAGACCAAAATAAAACACGCTTTGTCACCAGCATTTGCCAGTACGCAGGTCCAAACTCTTATGCAGTTGTCACAGCTGCAGCCCATGAAGAGGGTCAAGGCCCTCTCCTCCCGAGGAGACCACGTCTTTCCCTTATCCTCTCCTCCCTGCGTGCCCTAGGATGGAGAGGGGATGGGCCTGGGTCCTCCTCCGACTGCTCAGCCAGCCTCTGCCCTTCCCCAGCCTCCTCCACAACCTCTTCTCCCTCAGAGTCAGTCTCCACCAGGGGCATGACAATAACAGACAATTTAAGCACTTTAAATATGATATTTACAGTATTGATGATAGATACTCGGGGTCCATGTTGTTTAAAGTTAAAATTGGCTCAGTCTGTCCGTTGCATATCCACGCACAGAACAAACTGATAATGTGCGGATCGATAGAAGACTTGCTCTCCGTCAGAACTGGTTGTAGGGTCTCCTGCTTGGGCGGGGAGGGCCGCGCTAGATGACCTACAAGGCCCCTTCCAACCCTGTGAATCCGAATCTGCATCTGAATCAAAGCATTCTCCCAGATACTCACCCCAGGAGCAGTAGCCACCACTCTGTAGGGGAAGACGTAGAGGTCGAGGCCCACCAGCTGAAAGATGTTCTTGAACAGATCGATGATCTGCAAGGCCAACATGTCCTGCCCAGCGTCAAAAGAAACAAGGATTGAAAGGGGGTGTTCAAATATTGCACGCAACAGTCATGAATAAAGGAGGATATCTGAAACTCAGGGTTGACGTGAGGGGTCCTTGGTGCGGTCTGAGCTTGTTTTCTTGCAGACGTTTCGTGACCCAAGCTAAGTAAACTAGTTGAGGTTTTCTGGAACGCTGACAGTAACATCATCAGTAACATCATCAGGAGGAGGAGGAGGAGGAGGAGGAGGAGGAGGAGGAGGAGGAGGAGGAGGAATAATAATAATAATAATAATAATAATAATAATAATAATAATGACTGTGGGGTCCTTGGAGATCTCTGAACTTGGTTGCTTTCTTGCAGACATTTCATGACCCAAGCTAGGTAACATCATCAGTGCTAGTAAGGAGTGTGGTTTGCAGTCAGTTCTTTGGCAGTTTCTTGACTGGAGTCTTGCTTACTTAATTGTTGGTCTGATGTTAACCTTGGGGTTAATCTATGTCGGTCTGGGTGCTGATTGCTGGTGGAGAGGTGCTGGGGTCTCTTCTATAGACTGTTCAAAAGGGACTATTCCCACAGCCCAAAAAGGAATACAAAGACTAGATGAACTCCAAGGTTTAACATCAGACCAACGATCAAGAAAACAACACCTCAGTCAAGAAACTGCCAAAGAGCCAAGGATAAACAGCCCGACCAAAGAATCTATTAAGACCGTCCCCATCAACAACGACAGGAAAACCACCAGAATACAAACTGACAGCTCGCTTCCTTACTAGCACTGATGATATTACCTAGTTGGGTAATGAAATGTCTGCAAGGAAACAGGCAAGCTCAGAGAAGACCTCACACTTCTCCTCCTCTTCCTCTCCATAACTCCCACTCCCTTCTAGAACTGATGATGTTACCAGATGAGGTCTTTTTAGTGTTAAAGGATGCATTAGAGAGCGCTCGACTAATGACCATAATGGAGCCTGGAGGTTGTTAAATGGGTCACCATGGAACTGGGTTTGATTTTTCAACCTTTTTTTTTTTTGCTGGTGGTCATTAAGTGGATTAATTTTATCCAATGGGTGTTTTTGCCATAAACTGGAAATAAAACGCTGGAAACGCCTCCTACTCCTCATCTCCATAAGCCCCGTCGCCTTCTAGCACTGATGATGTTACCTAGTTGGGTCATGAAACGTCTGCAAGAAAAACAACCCAGCTCAGAAAGCACCGGGGACCCCTCAACGCAAAAGTGATTGCTGAAAAACCGTCCACATCCACAGGTGACTTAAGAAGGCAACCCAGCAGCTTTCTCACCTGTCTGCAGTCGTCCCCCACTTTAAAGATGGCGGCCTGCCAGCAAATCTTCTTGCTCTCCCTCCCGTCTTCTCCGCTTTCGTCGATGGAATCTGAACGGCAACGCAGACCTGGAAGAGTTGTTTTTTTTTTTAAATGTAGTTACGTTCTAAGCGATAATACACATGAGATGTCCTTTAGGGGACTCTAACCAGCAGTTAATTCTCTGCCTTTTCTGTGATGTGGTCCCAAGGGTGGAAGAGCTCAAGGGGTTTTTGAGGTTGGATGTCTCCACGTCAACATTCCAAAGGAGGAGGAGGAGGAGGAGGAGGAGGAGGAGGAGGAAGAAGAAGAAGAAGAAGAAGAAGAAGAAGAAGAAGAAGAAGAAGA